CAGTAAAGCGTCAACTCTACAGCTTCACAAGGTGCAAGGTTCAATGTTTTTCACAAGGCTCTCGGTTTCCAGGCAAGGTAGCAAGGCTCAAAGGTTGCAAGAGAACAAGTTTGGGGTTCCACAATTCCATGACCCTAGAGTTCCATATTTCCAACACTTCCATGGACCAAGGGATCCATATTGTGAGAGTCCCAAAAGGTGCAGGTTCCAGACTTGCAAAGAGTCAAAAGATCCAGAGTTCTAGAGATCCAGGGTTGCAGGATTCTAAGGTTGCAGAGTTCCAAGGTTACAAGGCTCCAGGAATCTAAGGGTGCAGGTTTCCATGGTTTCAAAGCTCCAAGATTTCAGAGTTCCGGGGGCACAGGGTTTCAGAAACCCTTTGCTGGAGCTCTTGCAGGAATGCCCCGCAGGAATTCCTTGCAGGAACCTTTCCGGACGCCATGACAAAATATGCGGGTGTAGTTTGAATGTTGTTTTATGAGTTTGCATTTTTCTCTGCTTAACGTGCGGAGCTGCTTCATGTGTCATTAAATTATGGAACCATAAATCCTTGAAAAACCTGAAGCGATAGACCCTGGAATCCTGGAAGCTTGGAACCCTGAAACCGTAAAAACTAGGAACCCTTTAGTCTTGAATAAATCCTAGAACCTTGGAAACCGGCATCCTTAGGATCCTGGTGCAAGCTTGGAACTTTGCCTCGTGACCTCGCAACCTCGGAACCCTGGAGAGCAAGGTTCATGCCGGGGTTCCGGCAAAGGTTCCTTCAAAGGCTCAGGCAGGGATGCCAGCATCACAGTTCAGCAAGGCATCGTCGTCTTTAATTGCCTGGCCTGCCCCAATAAAAAAATAGGTGGTATCCCCAACAGCCGCAACGTTCTATTTTTACAAATCTTTCTGAAGCGTGCTGCCAAGCCAAGAGCTGGAAACACCTCAGCTAGATTTCCGTGAGTTAAATGGCCGCAAATCCTGTTGAACCTGACCTGGCTCTGCACCAAAGCCTCACACACCTTCTACGGAACCTTCTCCGGAACCCTGTTGAACCTGACCTGGCTCCTGCACCAAAGCCTCCCGGAACCTTCTGCGGAACCTTCTCCGGAACCTTCTCCGGAACCTTCTTCGGAACCCTGTTAAAACCCAACCTGGCTCTGCACCAAAGCCTCCCACACCTTCTCCGGAACCTTCTCCGGAACCCTGTTGAACCTGACCTGGCTCTGCACCAAAGCCTCCCAGAACTTTCTCCAGAACCTTCTCCAGAACCCTGTTGAACCTGACCTGGCTCTGCACCAAAGCCTCCCAGACCTTCCCCAGAACCCTGTTGAACTTGACCTGGCTCTGCAAAGCCTCCCAGAACCTTCTCCGGAACCTTCCCCGAAACCTTGTTGAACCTGACCTGGCACTGCACCAAAGCGTCCCAGACCTTCTCCGGAACCTTCTCCGGAACCTTCTCCGGAACCTTCTCCGGAACCCCGTTGAACCTGACCTGGCTCTGCACCAAAGCCTCCCAGACGTTCTCCGGAACCTTCTTCGAAACCCTGTTGTGCCTGACCTGGCTCTGCACCAAAGCCTCCCGGAACCTTCTCCGGAACCTTCTTCGGAACCCTGTTGAACTTGACCTGCGGCTGCGTGCGTAATGCCATTGTCTTTTGCAGCTGGGCATCCTAAAGCATATTGGAATGGCTGCATCAAGGTTGCGATTGTGACTTGTCAGCAGGTAGGTTTTTCTCAATTTTGGCGCTGCTCATTTTCCTTCTAAATTCATTTCAAAAAGTGCTTCATTTTTTTTGTTTTGGCCCGAGATCCGGTTTTGGAGCTGCAATTTCTGACAGTGTTGCGCGTAGTTCTATTGTGTTTCGCACCTTGTCCTTTTTTTCGGTTTGGCACCGAGATCGGGTTTTGGAGCTGCAATTTCTGGTGCCATTGTGTACGAGAAAGCCTGTCTCGGTGTAAAAGCTTCTGTGCAACAGCTTCACTGTGTAGATGCTTTCCGTGTGTAAAAGCATGCTGTGTCAATGCTGTGTGTAAACGCTTTCCGTGTGTAAAAGCTTGCTGTGTGTAAAAGTTTTCCGTGCGCAAAAGAGCTTTTCTATGTAAAAGCTTGCTGTGTGTCAAAGCTTCTCTGTCTAAAAGCTTGCTGTGTGCAAAAGCTTCTGTGCAAAAGTGTGCTGTTTGTAAAAGCTTCTGTGTGTAAAAGCTTCTCTGTGTAAAAACTTTTCTGTGTAAAAGCTTCCTGTGCACAAGCTTGCTGTGAAGTAAAAGCTTCTCTGTGTAAAAGCTTCTGTGTGTAAAAGTTTCTGCGTGTAAAGGCTTGCTGTGAGTAAAAGCTTGTCCGCGTAAAAGCTTCTCTGTGTGCAAAAGCTTTTCTGTGTGCAAAAGCTTTTCTGTGTGCAAAAGCTTTTCTGTGTAAAAGCTTTCTGCGCGCAGAGATTGTTGTGTGCAAGAGCTTCTCTCTGACAGTAAGCCCTTTCTAACGTACAGAAGAGCTGACATGAGTTAAGAAGAG